CTTTGATGATCTAATCTTTACTGACAGAAAGCTGGTGACTTTTATTAACTGTTTCCCAAAATGTGAGAATTTGACTAATGTGAAACTCAAGATGAGTTTAGGTTGAAGATTGAAGATGAATTGCCAAGAAATATGAAAAGATGAAATACCAAGAAAATTATTACCTTTGAATTTCTGTTTCAGTCCTTCTGAATTAGTTAAAAGAAGTTTCAATTTGGTGCTAGCATTCCTTTTTAGTATTTGATAATATCCCTTTCTTACCAGAGAGCAGGCCTCAGAGCTCACTGTAGGCAACAGTATCTTCAGCTAGCTGATGGTGAATACTATATTACTAGTTTTTCATTGTCTGTTTAAAATTTTAATACAGCATAATATACACACAAAATCACTCGTATCCTCAGTATTTAGCCCAGTTTTCAAAAACTGAATGCATCCATTTACCTAACATCTGGACCAAGAAACAGAACATTACCATCATTGCGGAAGCCTCTCTTATGCCACCTGTCAGTGGCTACACTTATCCCCACCCACCCAAGGGAACCACCAACAGAATAGATTTGTTTTTGTAGTTTATATAAACGGAATCATACAGTCTAAAGTCTTTTATGTCTGGCTTCTTGTACACAACCTTATGTTATGAGAGTCATGTATATTATTGTGTGTAGTTGTAATTTATTTATTCTCATTGCTATATGGTGATCTATTATGTGAACATAGCATAATTTACTGATCTGTTTTATTTACTTTTAGGATTATCCTTTATTTATTGGATATGAAGCTATTTTTCATGTATATAGGAATATAAATTTTCCTGTTAAAACAAATTTAAGTAAAGGATCACTTTAGTTAAATAATTAAAACGTTACACAGTAGACAAGGTAGAGCAGAGTTGCAGCAGCTTGTGAAGGGGTTACATGAAAGACTGAAGTTTGGGGAGTACTGACTGATATTATTGTTTCCCAAACTAGTATTCTGCAGAATACTAATGTTGAGTTTTTAGACAGAGTGATTTAGGCAAGTATATCCGTAGTGTCAGAAATTGTCCTTAAGAATATCATGTTTAAATTTTTCTCATTCTTTGTTGACCAAGCATCCTTCTAATCTCTACATATCAAGTGAGACTTATTACGAAACAGTATTTTTTTTTATTATTTTTTGCAGTACGCGGGCCTCTCACTGTTGTGGCCTCTCCCGTTGCGGAGCACAGGCTCAGCGGCCATGGCTCACGGGCCCAGCCGCTCCGCGGCATGTGGGATCCTCCCGGACAGGGGCACGAACCCATGTCCCCTGCATCGGCAGGCGGACTCTCAACCACTGCGCCACCAGGGAAGCCCCATGAAACAGTATTTTATATTTCTTTTTTTTCTTTATTTCCTAGAAGGTACAGTAACCAACATTATTATATAGGAACAGGATTTTTTCCCCTTCAATTAGTTAAACCATTTAGTTTTACTTAGAATACAAGTTTCTGCCCAGCTTGCCAATATCACCAGTTAAATACCTGAAATACCTAGGTGCTTTGCTAGGAATAATATGGAGTTCCTTTCCTGGAGGAGCAAATCTGTATTATTCATTCCGTCATTCAGCAGATATTTACTGAGGACTTATTATGGGCTGAGTTACTGTGGTTCTAAGTGCTGGGGCTAAATCATTGAACAGACAAAAATTTTTGCTTCATGGAGCTTCTATTTTAACAGGGAGGTGGGATAGGTGAGACAGGCAATAAATCTTTTTTTTTTTTCACGGTACGCGGGCCTCTCGCTGTTGTGGCCTCTCCCATTGCGGAGCACAGGCTCCGTACGTGCAGGCTCAGCGGCCCTGGCTCTTGGGCCCAGCCACTCCGCGGCATGTGGGATCTTCCCGGACCAGGGCACGAACTCGTGTCCCCTGCATCGGCAGGCGGACTCTGAACCACTGTGCCACCAGGGAAGCCCCGGCAATAAATCTTAAAATGTGTATCTGCTGTTGATAAGTGCTATGGAGATGGTTATGTCAAGTGTGTATGTTGGGGTGAGCATTGAAATTTTTAGTCCATGAAGCCTTCATGGAGAAGTTATTCCTGAGCTAATCTTGAGATAAGGGAAATGAGTGATGCAGTTATCTGAGGGAAGAGGGTTCCAGACAGAGGGGACAGTAGGAGCAGAGGTAATTAGGCAGGCGCATACCTGCATAAACCAGGAATTACAAGGGAGCCAAGGGTGGAGTGGAGAAAGGGGGAGTAAGTTAGTAACTAGTGATGAGGAAGTTGAAGTAATAGGACTGGAGAGAGGGGCCATGCATCGGGCCATGGGAAGGCCTTTAGGTAAGAACTTAAGCTTTTGTGTGAGTGAAGGAGAACGTGAACAGCATGTTTTAATGTAGAGTTGGTATTGTTCACAGGTGATGATGTAGAAGGCAGCACAGCACAACAGCTAAGAGCATAGACGTGAGCCAGGTTGCCTGAATTTGAATTCTGGCTCCACTTGGCAACTGTAACCTTGGGTAGGTTACTTAACCTCTTTGGGCCTGTTTCCTCATCTGTAAAATGAGGATAATAATGCCTGTTTTATAGGAGTGTAGTGAGGATCTAGTGAGAGTCAATGAGAATAAAACATTTAGAATAGCACCTGGCACATAGTAAATGCTGTATGTGTTTGTTAATAAGCATTTTGTTATTTGGTTAACTATTATCTCTATAGGTATAAGAGAACTGAAATATAAACAGTGTTACCCACGTGCCCCCGCCACCACCATTTATTTATATTTGGCTGAGACATACTCAGATGACTTCCTGTGTTTTCATTTTTGGCCCTTTTTTTTTTTTTACATAAAGGGTCAACTGAGTCTATTTATTTCAGTCTTTAATAATTACTAAAATATATTCCAATATTATGCAGTGGTAAAGGTGTTAAACACTTTAGGCTATATACTGTCTTAACATACAGTCTGACCTTAGAAAGGAAGCTGTCTTAAAGTTTGCTATGGTATGGGGAAATTTCCTGGCAGTCCAGTGGTTAGGACTTCAAGCTGTCACTGATGAGGGCCCTGGTTCGATCCCTGTTCGGGGGACTAAAATCCCATAAGCCCCGCAGCATGGCCAAAAGCAAAAACAAAAACAACAAACAAAAAAAAGTTTGCTATGGTATGATAAAGACTGAAGAACAAAACTCAGTGTCTTATGTTAGTATGTTAGGACCTCTCATCTACTTTTGCCCCAATACAAATGTTAATACATTTCAGAGTCACTGCTAGTTGGATTGAAGCAAACCTCCCAGATGATTCTAAAGACACGTGGAAGAAGAGAGGGAATGTGGATTATGTGGTACTTCTTGACTGGTTTAGTACTGCAAAAGATTTACAACTTGGAACAACTCTGCGGAGTCTGAAAGATGCACTTTTCAAGGTTAGCAAGTTTCCTTGTTAGTTTACTGTAATTGCAAGCCTTCTCTGGTTGTTAGAAAGGTATGTCGACTAGTTGATTATCTTAAGGACATGAAGATCCGACATGCTTTGGTTGTAGACTTTTTAAAAATTCAGATTTAAAAGACCAGTTTTGACTCACCCAATAACAATAAACTGATCTTTATAAAGTAGGATATTCGAATTTTCCGAAACATAAATTGTCTGGAAAAAAGTGTTATTTTTTGTTATGAAACATAAAGGCAAAGAAAAAGCCACTAAGGAAAAAGAGATTGATAGATTTGACTTAATAAAATAAAAACTTAGGTGTGCAAAAAAATACCAGATTTGAAGGCAGAAGACAAAAAAAAATATTTGCAACAAATATGGCAGTGATTTAGAACACCTGAAATCTGAAGAGCTTTTGCAAATAAATAAGAAAATTACTTAAGATAAAATGTTGAAATAAGTAGTGGACACAGATAGACGTGAACAGAAGAAGATATGCAAGTGACAAAAACATAAAAATGTCAACTTGACTAGTAATCAGAGAAATGCAGATTGAAACAGTAAATGCCGCTTTCATGATCAAATTAACAAAGATAAAAAATAATACTCGGTTTAATTTGTTAAATTATTAAACAATAATAGCACTGAATGCTGGTGAGCATGGGTAAGTATAAAACTCAGTCTGCTGGTAGGAGGGTCAGTTGATGGAACATTGCCCTCCAGGAGAGTAATCTTAAAGGCCTTGAAACAAATCATGCTTCAACGTAAGGAATCTAGAAATATACCCAGATATAGGCCAACATGTGAGATTGCCAATATTCAACTACAGTTAAGTCCCCTGCATACGAACGAGTTCCGTTCCAAGAGCGTGTTCGTAAGTCCAATTTATTTGTAAGTCCAACAAAGTTGGCCTAGGTACCCAACTAATACAATTGGCTATATAGTACTGTACTGTAATAGGTTTATAATACTTTTCACACAAGTATTACATAAAAAACAAACACAAAAAAATAAAACATTTTTAATCTTACAGTACAGTACCTTGAAAAGTACAGTAGTATAATACAACAGCTGGCATACAGGGGCTGGCATCGAGTGAACAGGCAAGAAGAGTTACTGACTGGAGGAGGGAGAGGAGGTGGGAGATGGGAGAGCAGAAGAATCGTCAGCAATAGGAGACGGAGGGCAAGATGCAAGTTCACTCATGCCTGACTTTGATGGAATGCACATTTATATCTTTGAAAGTTCGCAACTTGAAGGTTCGTGTGTAGGGGATTTGACCTAAAAAAGTGGCAGCTTCATAAAGTTACCTGAAAGTTTAGTGTATGATAAAGATGACATAACAGATCAGTGAGGAAAAGATGGATTGAAATAACTGGTTTGAGGACAGCTGGCTAGCCAGCAAGTAAAAGAAAGGGGATCCCTACCTTATTTCTTAGACCACACTAGATTCCAAATGGGTAAAAGATATAAATATGTTGATTCAGACAATGAACTACTAGGAAAAAGCATTGATAAGTTTTTTTTTTGTTTTTTATTTTTAAATTTATTTATTTATTTTTGGCTGTGTTGGGTCTTCATTTCTGTGCGAGGGCTTTCTCTAGTTGTGGCAAGTGGGGGCCACTCTTCATCGCGGTGCGCGGGCCTCTCACTATCGCAGCCTCTCTTGCTGCGGAGCGCAGGCTCAGTACTTGTGGCTCACGGGCCTAGTTGCTCTGCGGCATGTGGGATCTTCTCAGACCAGGGCTCGAACCCGTGTCCCCTGCATTAGCAGGCAGATTCTCAACCACTGCGCCACCAGGGAAGCCCCTGATAAGTGTTTTTATTACCTTGATCCTGAACCAAGAGGCTAATATTTTTGACGGTGTTAAAAACACCACAAATAAAGTAAAAAGTCAATTAAGGGAAAATATTTGTAACAAATATGACAAAGACCTATTTTCTTTAATATTCAGAGTACATTCACTGTTTACCAAGAAAATAGCAAATTCTGTAGAAGAATGGGCAAAAGATGAGATAGACTATAAAGGGTTAATAAACATTAAAATATGTTCAGCTTCACAAATAAGTACTAATTAAAACAACCTGGGCTTCCCTGGAGGCACAGTGGTTAAGAATCTGCCTGCCAATGTAGGGGACACAGTTTCAAGCCCTGGTCCGGGAAGATCACACATGCCGCAGAGCAAATAAGCCCATGCGCCACAACTACTGAGCCTGTGCTCTACAGCCCACGAGCCACAACTACTGAGCCCACGTGCTACAACTACTGAATCCCACGCACCTAGAGCCTGTGCTCCGCAACAAGAGAAGCCACCGCAATGAGAAGCCCGTGCACCACAATGAAGAGTAGCCCCCGCTCGCCGCAACTAGAGAAAAGCCGGCACACAGCAATGAAGATCCAACACAGCCAAAATAAATAAATAAATAAAATAAAATAAAACAACCCACTTTATGTCCACCAGTTTGATAAAAATTATAAAGACTTATAATGGGCATTCTCACACACTGTTGGTAAATGTGTAAATTGGTATTGTCTTTTTGAAGGGCAGTTTGGTGGCATCTACCAAACTTGTAAGCCAACAGTTCTCCTAGGAAATTATTGTACAGAATACACAAACATATTTTTAAAAGATCATTTCAGAGATTAGCAATATACATTAAAAGCCTTAAAATGTTCATGACCCTTGGCTTAGCAGCTCCACTTGTGGGGATTTTCCCTAATGGAGTTGATTGGGTATGTACATGTATGAGGATCTTTAGCTTTTATCTCACCATTGTTTATAATTAAATAGGAAAAATAATAATTGTTCAAATGATTGATTCATTTTGGCGTGTGTGTGTGTATGTCTGTATAAAATACAATATTTGTTCATTACAGATGGTGAGACAGTTCTTTATTAATAACAGATGTTCATATAAGAGAAAAGCAGCATAAGTTTCATTGTTTTATAAAAATAAAATTTAAAAAGAAGTATGTCTATGTAGAAAACTGTAAAAATAAACTCTAAAATGTTAAAGTGGTATCTCTGGGTGATGAGGTTATAGAAGATTTTTATTGTATTTTAAGTTGTTTTCCTATTTTTCTTCTAAGATCATGGATTACTCGTGTGGTTTTAAAAACCTGATCTATCCATTTGTTTCACTTAATGCTGAATTTTGAATTCAGCTCTCTCTTTTTTTTAATCATTTAGAAGATGAATCTTTTAAGAGCAATTTTAATATTCAGTTTTGTTGTGTTTTTAGCTGTCAAGAGGCTGCCTCCATGTTAAACATACTATTTCCTTATTTTATAGTGGGAAAGTAAAACTGTCCTGCACAATGAGCCTTTGGTTTTAGAAGGAGGCTATGAAAATTGGCTCCTTTGTTATCCACAGTATACAACAAATGCTAAAGTCACTCCACCCCCACGAGGCAAGAATGAAGAGGTGTCTGTCTCATGTATGTATGTGAAAATTTTTGTTTAAAATTGTTTCGGTAAAATAAACTTTATTTATGTTCTCAGGGTAATGTTTTTGGTTGTGTGTGCATTTGTCCTGTCAGATAGCAGTTTGCTTTTAGGCATAAAAATACAAGATGTCCCCATCCTGGAAGTTAATGTTTATTAATTCTTTAAGGCTGTTGTGGCTGTCACCTCTTAGTTTACATTTAACTATCACATATAACATGCATGAGATATGAAGTACTGTTTATGGGGTTTGCTTTTCTTTCAAAAATATTTTTATTCTTTTGGGGATTTTAGTGGATTTTACTTACCCCTCACTGGAAGAATCAGTTCCTTCTAAACCTACTGCCCAGATGACACCTCCTACAGAAGTCAATGAAAACATAGAATTGATAAACAATCAAGATGAGAGTGTGGGACCACTGAATATATCAACTCCAGTTGAACCAATTGCTGCTTCTAAATCTGATGTTTCACCCATAATTCAGCCAGTGCCTATTATAAAGAATGTTCCACAGGTATGTTCTTGATTTTCTTTTAACTTTTGTCTCTTTTTTTAAATATTATATTAAATATATAGTATAGAAATATGTATCTAGCATATATATGCCTTCAGTATTTTAGAAAGAAAAATAGTGAGAAATATCTATATGTTTTGGTACCTTTTTTGCTATAAAAAATTTTCATTGTAATTGTCTTACTGCCACAGCAATATTAGAATAACTAATTGGAAGGATTTTAAACCCAGCTGGGTCCATTTAGTACAGGCAGTACTAATGAAAGACAGTATTAGCACAGTGAAGTTGAACAACACTTTCAGGTGTTTTTTATTATAATTTAATTCATAGTATTTTCCCAAATAATTTGGCTTATAGATGATAGGTATGTGATGTCAATATTTTGGTTTTGAAATAGTATTTTAGTTCCATTTCCTTAGAATTTGACACATAAATAACAGGCATTTTTTATCAATAATTATTTAAAAGAGTTTAAATAACAGATGTTACAATAGGGGGCTTTCCTGGTGGCACAGTGATTAAGAATCTGCCTGCCAGTGCAGGGGACACGGGTTCGAGCCCTGGCCCAGGAAGATCCCACATGTCACGGAGCAGCTAAGCCCGTGCACCACAACTGCTGAGCCTGTGCTCTTTAGCCTGCAAGCCACAACTACTCAGCCCGCATGCCACAACTACTGAAGCCCACGTGCCGAGAGCCTGTGCTCCCAACAAGAGAAGCCATCACAACGAGAAGCCCGCGCACTGCAACGAAGAGTAGTCCCCACTCACCGCAACTAGAGAAAGCCCGCATGCAGCAACAAAGACCCAATGCAGCCAAAAATAAAATAAATAAATTTATTTTTTAAAAAAAGATGTTACAATAAAAAACTTGTAGCATCTTTCTCTTCATTAGATTTTACTTAAAGGAAGGTTAACTGATTCTTTCCTGTGTGTTTTCCAACAAGATTTTTTAGCATTTACTTTTAATTTTTTTTCCCCAGGTATATTTAAATAGTATTTCACATTTGAAGTGGATGACATCTGGTTTGTGGAGCAGAAAATTAGTCATTTTTTTGTTGTAAAATGAAGTGGTTCATTTCTTCATTTTTTACGGCCTGCTTTTAATATTTCTGATTAAATCTTAAGACTAAATAGTATTTGAATAAATTATTCTTAAAATGGAAATTTAAGAAATTTTAAAAAGGGCTTCCCTGGTGGCGCAGTGGTTGAGAGTCTGCCTGCCGATGCAGGGGACACGGGTTCGTGCCCTGGTCCGGGAAGATCCCACATGCCCTGGAGCGGCTAGGCCCGTGAGCCATGGCCACTGAGCCTGCGCATCGGAAGCCTGTGCTCTGCAACGGGAGAGGTCACAACAGTGAGAGGCCCACGTACCGCAAAAAAAAAAAAAAAGAAATTTTAAAAAGAGCTTATGATATTGCACTTCCTTTCAACTTAATCAACATGTTATTTGCACCCTAATCCCTTAGTGACTTTCCGAGATATGTACAATTTATCAAACGCATTTTGAGGATTTCCTATATGAAACAAAATATGAAGGTTTACAAATATGGGTAATTCATGGATTCTGTCTGATGTTTAGGAGAGACATGGACAAAATCAACCACAGCATAATGCAGAATATCCTAACTGTTTTTAATAGTCACTAGAGCACACAGCAAGGAGAGAAATTCTGACTGAGAGTGGGTATCATCAGGGGGTCTTCATGGAGGAGGTAGTATTTTTATCTGAGTTTTAAGAATTGAATAGGATTTGAGAAACAAGTGGAAAATTGTATGACTGAAGGCACAAAGCATGTTCTGGGGTCAGTGAGTAGTTTTGACATGCTTGGGCACAGCTCTCAGTTGGAGACAGGTGAGTGTGATAGTAGATAAGATTGGAAAAGTGGACAGAAGTCATCAAGAGAGACTTGGATCTCTTGGAATTTTATCCTGTAGGCGAAAGGAAAGCATTTAAAAGAATTTTAAACTTGAAAGTAACAAGATCATAGCTATGCCTTTAATATGAGTGGAAAATGGATTGTTGCCAAAATATGGATGAAAACATTTATTTTGGTTCTTGTTCACCTTTTATTAACCTCATTCTCATAGTGGTCCTTCCACTTCATTCTCAAATAAATTTAGAAAAGGGGGCGGGGAATAGTTTCATTTTTATTTTAAGTGAAGAGGCAAAAAGAGAAGTAAGGAGCAAAGGAATGATTCCTTCTTCCTATGGTAGTGTTTCTAATGGAAAAACATAGTTCATTTTGTAAGAACACTACACAGGTTGTTACTGGCAGATATTCTCATTTTTGTTTCAGTAAACTTCATTCTCAAGAAATGATGTTAGGGTCCCTTTTAACAATTTTGTATGGTTAGTATGTTGTTAAATTGAGATAATTACTCAGTTTGTCTTTAGTATCTTATCTCTTATGAAAGTTGTTATGGAATATTTTATTCATTTGCCCTGCAACATTTATTTACTAAGTGTCAGACACAATCTCTACCCTCCTGGAGCTTATGTGCTCAGAGGGAGGAAAGATTTTAAACAGACAATGATAGTTATTTAATCAGAATCCCAGTAAGTACTATGAGGGAAAAGAATAGGGTATTATGAGGGCATATATCAGGGGACTTGGCTAGTCTTAGGGATCAGGGAAGTGTTTAAGGAAGAGATATTTAAGCCAAGATCTAATGTTGTGGTGGGGATTATCTAGATGAATAGCTAGTATGAAGACCTGAGTTGGGAAGGAGCATGGCATCTTTGAGGAATTAAGTGGAGGGAGGCAAGTATGGCTGGTGTAACAAGTAGTATGAGATAAGACTGGGGAGATGGGCAGAAGTGAGACCACACAGGCATGGCAAGGATTTTAGATGTAATCTAAGTACAGTGAGTGGCTATTTAAAATAAGGTTTTAAGTAGGTGGTTGGATTTGTGCTTTAAAATGATTACTCTGGTAACAGTGTGGAGAAATAAATTTTCTGGTTTGAGCAACTATTTGCATAGTGGTCACACCCATGTGTTTGTGGGGCGAAATCATGAATTCTCTTTTGTCTGTTTTAGGTTTGTGGTATATGTGAGACACTCACATGAAGATATTGAGTAGGCAGTTGGTTATGTAGAAATGGAACATTAGGTATGCCCAGGTCTGGGTTTTATGTTTTAGAGTGAACTCTTCATATACAGAACATATCAGTGTATTGAAAGTGTGGAATCAAGAGGACGTAAGTGCCAAGTGCCTTCTGAGAAATCTTGACATTGGATAATTTACAAGTAGATGTTTTGGTAGATGTTGTCTCCACACAGTGATGGTTCTTTTGTCACAACTTGATATCAAGAACTGAGGTTACTATGTTCCTGGATTTTGACGAAAGTATGTTTTTCTCTGTTTTTGTTGATATAGATTGATCGTACTAAAAAACCGGCAGTCAAATTGCCTGAAGATCATAGAATAAAATCTGAAATTACAGATCATGAGCAACAGTCTCCTCAGAATGGAAAAGTTGTTCCTGATCGGTCCACAAAACCGGTATTTCCCCTTCCAACTGCCATGTTAACAGATGAAGAAAAAGCTCGTATTCATGCGGAAACTGCTCTTCTAATGGAGAAAAACAAACAAGAAAAAGAACTTAGAGAAAGGCAGCAAGAGGAGCAGAAAGAGAAACTGAGGAAAGAAGAAGAAGAACAAAAAGACAGAAAGAAACAAGAAGCTGAAGAAAGTGAAATCACAGAGAAGCAACAAAAAGCAAAAGAACAAATGGAAAAGAAAGAAAGTGAACAGGCCAAGAAAGAAGATAAAGAAACCTCAGCAAAGAAGGGCAGAGAAATAACAGGAGTAAAAAGACAAAGTAAAAGTGAACATGAAACTACTGATGCCAAGAAATCTGTGGAAGATAGGGGGAAAAGGTGTCCAACCCCAGAAGTGCAGAAAAAGTCAACGGGAGATGTGCCCCATGCCTCTGTGGCAGGAGATTCCAGTTCAGGCAAGGTAAGCAGAAACAAACAGTACAAGTTGCCAACTAAGTGTAATAAAATGTATATAAATAAATAATAAAATGTATATAAAAAGATGACACCAGTAGCATTCCATAAACAGGGCAGGCATTTTAAGTAATTTTCTTAGGAGTTGATAGATTTGTACTGATCCACCTACATTTGCTTACCTACTCTTATTTGATTGGTTGGGAATGGAGTTGCTTTTTGTGTCTATGAAATGCAACATATTTTCGATAACTGAGATAAATAGCTACGTTCTTCATTTTTTTTTTTACTAAATTTATTTATTTATTTTTGGCTGCATTGGGTCTTCGTTGCTGCGCGTGGGCTTTTCTCTAGTTGCAGCAAGCAGGGGCTACTCTTTGTTGCAGTGCTCGGACTTCTCATTGTGATGGCTTCTCTTGTTGCGAAGCATGGGCTCTAGGTGCAAGGGCTTCAGTAGTTGTGGCGCATGGGCTCAGTAGTTGTGGCTCACGGGCTCTAGAGCACAGGCTCAGCAATTGTGGCGCATGGGCTAAGTTGCTCCACGGCATGTGGAATCTTCCCAGACCAGGGCTTAAACCCATGTCCCTTGCATTGGCAGGCAGATTCTTAACCACTGCACCACCAGGGAAGTTCTACATTCTTTATTTTTATTCTTTTTTTTTTTATTTTTTTTTTATTTTTATTCTTGATGTATGATCATCAAAAGACTAGAATGAAATATAATACGATCTCCGAATGGAGGAATTTGCTGCCAAATATTTATATAATGAAGTTTGTCTCTGCTTAGAATATGTCCAAAATCAGTGACCTCTGAATGAACCAACATTTATCTTTGTGTATAATGATTTTTTTTGTCAGGTCTATGTCATTTTGTTTGTTGATTCATCTAGTCAGTAATCTTGGCAATAACCCCATTAATGTTGCCTTTTTCTGCCCTTGGCTATTCCCCAACATTGATTTTCATAATTTTGGAGGAGATTTTTTTTTTTTTTTTTTTTTTTTTTTTGCTTCCCCATGCAGCTTTCAGGATCTCAGTTCCCAGACCAGGGATTGAACCTGGCCACAGCAGTGAAAGCACCAGATCCTAACCACTAGACCACCAGGGAAGTCCCCTGGAGATTTTTTTTTAACCTAATAATATCATGTATGCTTTTCATGGGCTTCTTTTTTGCCTTTTTGTTTTATTTTGTTGCTCTTGTTGTTGTCTTATGCAATTAACAATGCCTTTCCCTTTTGAACACTAAACTAAGTGTTTTGGGTTTTTTTAATCCTACTTTATTTTTTTCCTTCTAGTTATATTGAGATATTAATGACATACAGCACTGTATAAGTTTAAGATGTACAGCATAATGATTTGACTTACATACATCATGAAATAATTATCACAGTAAATTTAATGAACACCCATCATCTCATAGAGACACAAAATTAAAGAAACAGTAAAAAAAAAAAAATTGTGTGATAAGAACTCTTAGGATTTACTTTCTTAACATCTTTCATATGTAACGTACAGCAGTGTTGAGTATATTTGTCATGTTGTACATTACATCCCCAGTACTTACTTACCTTATAACTGGAAGTTTGTACCTTACAACGACCTTCATCCAGTTCCCCCTACTCCCACCTCCGATAACCACAAATCTGATCTTTTTTCCTATGTATTTGTTTGTTTTTGAAGTATAAATGATTTATAACACTCCGTTAGTTCCTGTTACACAACATAGCAATTTGGTATTTCTATACATTTCAAAATGATCACCGTAATAAGTCTAGTTACGATATGTCACCATACAAGGATACATAGCTATTGACTATATTCCCCACACTGTATATATTTCATCCCTGTGACATTTATTTTGCAACTGAAAGTTTATACCTCTTAATCTCCCTCACCTATTTCTTTCCTCCCCACACTGTCCTCCCCTATGGCAACCACCTGTTTGTTCTCTGTATCTATAACTGTTTCTGTTTTATGTTTGTTCATTTGTTTTTTAGATTCTACATGTAAGCGAAATCATACAATATTTTATCTTTTTGGGGCTGACTTATTTCACTTAGCATACTACCCTCTAGGTCCATCCATGTTGTCACAAGTGGCAAGATTTCATTCTTTTTTTTTTTTAATGGCTGACTAATGGGCACCTGGGTTGCTTCCATATCTTGGCTATTATAAATAATGCTGCAATGAATATAGGGGTACATATATCTTTTCTAATTACTGTTTTTGGTTTCTTTGGATAAATAACCAGGAGTGGAATTGCTGGATCATATGGTAGTTCTATTTTTCAGTTTTTAAGGAATCTCCATACTGTTTTTCATAGCGACTGTACCAATTTACATTCCCACCAACAGTGTTGTAGTAAGGCTCCTTTTTCTCCACGTTCTCGCCAATACTTGTTATTTGTGGTCTTTTTGATAATAGCCATTTTGACAGGTGTGAGGTAATATCTCATTGTGGTTTTGATTTGCATTTCCCTGATGTCTGGTGATGTTGAGCATCTTTTCATGTGCCTGTTGGCCATCTGTATGTGTTCTTCAGAAAAATGTCTATTCAGATCCTCTGCCCATTTTTAAATCAGGTTTTTTGTTTCTTTGATGTTGAGCTGTCTGAGTTCTTTGTATAATTTGGATATTAACCCCTTATCAGATATTATCATTTGCAAGTATCTTCTCCCATTCAGTAGGTGGCCTTTTCATTTTGTTGTTAGTTTCCTTCTCTGTGCAAAAGCTTTTTAATTTGATATAGTCAGAATTTGTTTATTTTTGCTTTTGTTTCCTTTGCCTGAGGAGACATATGCAAAAAAATATTACTAAGACCAATGTCAAAGAGTGTTCTGCCTGTGTTTTCTTCTAGAAGTTTTATGGTTTCAGGTCTTACATTTAAGTCTTTAATCCATCTTGAATTTATTTTTGTGCATGTTGATTTATTTTTGTGCATGTTTTAGGAGAATAGTCTAGTTTGATTCTTCTCATGTAGCTGTCCAGTTTTTCCAACACCATTTTTGTTTTGTTTTTTGGGTTTCTTTTTTTTGTTTTACATCTTCTCTCTTGTTTTTTTTGTTTGTTTGGTTGGTTTTGTTTTTGTTTTTTGGGGGGCTGCTTCACACAGCTTTCGGGATCTTAGTTCCCCGACCAGGGATTGCACCCGGGGCCGCTGCAGTGAAAGCGTGGAGTCCTGACCATTGGACCACCAGGGAACTCCTGGCTTATTTTTAATATTAATAAAATGTCAGTGCTCTTTGAATGCTGAACTTTATAATGCATACATACTTTGAATTATTTCGTCCAATAAAAAGAAGTGTGGAAAAAAATTACTTGCTTCCTTATGTATCTCAAAGACCTGATCCATCAACAACACCATTTATTGAAGAGGTAATCTTTTCCCCATTGTATATTCTTCCTCCCTTGTCATAGATTAATTTGACCATATAAGTGTGGGTTCATTTCTGGCCTCTCTGTTCTGTTCCATTGATCTGTGTGGCTGTTTTTGTGCCAGTACCATACTGGTTTGATGACTGTAGGTTTGTAGTTGAAGTCAGGGAGCATGATTCCTCCAGTTCTGTTCTTTCCTAAGATTGCTTTGGCTATTTGGGGTCTTCTGTGTTTCTGTAAACATTTTAGATTATTTGTTCTAGTTCTGTGGAAAATGCCATTGGTGTCTTTTTTGTTTTGTTTTTATCTTTTTTCTTATTAATACAGTATTTATTTGTCTTCCTTCTGTCAAACCCTGAGCCAACCCCTTTCCCCAGGCTGCCTGGGGTGGTACAGGAAAAGGAACATACAGGGCAGACAAGACATGGGAGAAAGAACTGTGGGAGGTGGAAACAGCCCCTTCACATGGTGAAGAGGATGAGAAAGGCCACCATCAGGCAAAAGAGTCCCATGGCTTCCGAGAGGCAAAGCCCAGAATGGTGTAGGAGAAGAGCTGTTGCTTCAGAGAAGGGTTCCTGGCATAACCAATGATGAAGCTCCCAAACACAGTCCCAATTCCAGCCCCAGAGCCAGCCACCCCTACTGTGGCAGCCCCAGCTCCAGTGAACTTGTCTGCTGTGCCAGTGTCCCTCGAAATGGCACTGGTTTGGAAGCAGTTACTAGGAATAAGTGAGGTGGTCAGGGGACTCGGGGCTGCCAAGCTGCTGTGGCTCTCATCTGTCAGCATCTCCAGTCGTTTCAGCACCACTGCAGACAGTGATCGGCTTATTAGTGGAGAGGTTCTCCTGATCAAGGAGGGGATGGAGACGAACTTGGCACACGTGTACATTTTCAGGGGCTGAAGGGCCATAGCAGGAGAGCTGCTCCCAGTGCAGAGAAGACAATAGAGAGCACCATTGGTGTTTTGATAGAGATTTCATTGAATCTGTAGATTGCGTTGGGTAGAATGGACATTTTAACAATATTAATTCTTCCAATCCATGAACACAGTATTATCTTTTCATCTGTTTGGGTCATCCTCAATTATCTTTCATCAGTGTCTTATAGTTTTCCAAGTACAGGTCTTTTACCTCCTTAGTTAGATTTATTCCTATATATTTTATTCTTTTTTTAATATTTATTTATTTTATTAAAAAAATTTTTTTTTGGCTGCATCAGGTATTAGTTGTAGCATGTGGGATCTCTCGTTGCAGCGCAGGCTCTTCGTTGTGCTGTGGGCTTCTTCTCTCTAGTTGTGGCATGTGGGCTCCAGGGCATGAGGGCTCTGTAGTTGTGGTGTGTGGGCTCCAGAGCACATGGGCTATGTAGTTTGTGCCATGCGGGCTCTCTCGTTGAGGTGTGTGAGCTCAGTAGTTGTGACATGCAGGCTTAGTTGCCCTGCGGCATGTGGGATCTTAGTTCCCTGACCAGGGATCGAACCCACATCCCCTGCATTGGAAGGCAGATTCTTTATCACTGGACCACCAGGGAAGTCCCTATTTTATTCTTTTTGATGCAATTGTAAATGGGATTGTTTTCTTAATTTCTTTCTGGTAGTTCATTATTAGTGTATACAGATGCAACAGATTTCTGTATATGAGTTTTGTGTACTGCAACTTTACAAAATTCATTGATGACCTCTAGTAGTTTTTTGGTGGCATCTTCAGGATTTCTATGTATAGTATCTTGTCATCTTCTAACAAATAAATTTTTATAATAGCAAGAACAGCTATAGCCCTTTTTACATTTCATATAAATGGAAATATATTTTTGGTAGTGTGAAAATGAATTCTAATTGGAGGCGAAATACTGTCTTTATTGAACATCAATTTCTATACTTCTCAAGCAGCAGTTTATGCATATACCAAAATTAACAATTCATATGAGTGCCACATTTATCCACTGAACACTTAACCTAGTAACTTTAATTATCAAAGATGTAGGTCCCATGCAAAAGCCTTCTAAACATCCAAAGTTAGGAAAATGAAGCTTATGTTCTAAAATTCTCTAACTTTATTCATAGAAGAATCAGAACTTAGGAGCTCTTACCATTTAAATATTATTCATTGTGTAGCTAGTATATGCCAGGTATTTCTACTATTGATACATAATCTTACTTATTCGTCCTAATGATAACTCTATGAGGAATTCAATTTACAGATGAAATTGAAGCTTAGAGGTTAAGTAAGTTGCCTGTGAATCACATACGCAGTTAAATTCCAAAGCCACCTTCTATCCAGAGGCAGGTAGTCTTAAGAACTTAAAGCGTTCATATTTCTGGGGTCACTTAGTATAGGTGCCAAATATGCATACAAGTCTAAATAGCCCTGAGATGATCACATGTAGTTTTTTAATGTTTCCTATAATGTAACACACTGAAGGAAAAGTTAAGATTGCATTCATTGTATGATCCTTTTAAAAGTAGGCAAAATGTGTGATTTATTCTGGAATAAATTTTGTTTAAGTTATCACACTTTTAAGTTTTTACTTTACTGTAGTTATTTTTAAAATCTATAAAATTAAAGTGAATTTCTTAAAGCATCTATGAGAAGTTCTAAGAGGATATAAAATGAATTTTGCACTCCTGAATATTGCTCTGTATGAAATTCTATAATCGCTTCATTCTGTTTAATACGTTGATGATTTTAGATCACTACCACTTTCAAGGTAGCCAAAATCATAATAGATTTAAATAAAAGGATAATGTTCACAAGAAGCCATGGTGTGTGTACGCTAATGACCCAACATCTTATACTTGGCCATGTATTATGAATCAGTGCTTCATAATCCACTGTGATTGACATCTCTTCCCCACCACTGATTCATCAAAGTTTCTTAGTTCTTTACCTTTGGAGTTAGGAAATCCCACATAGGCCCTGCCACCTTTAATTTTAAGTGTCTAATTTGACAATAAAATCAAATAAACTTTTCAGAGCCTCATTTTTTTTTCTCTCTTTTTACATTTGCAGTCTGATGGATTTGCTTGTATTAGCTAGTGATAGGTAGGTTTTTGTTGGGGAAAAGTTAAAGGTTTGTTTCACTTCTGATTTTAATAATTTTATAGCCTGTTAAGATTAAAGGACAACCAGAAAGTGGAATTCTAAAGACTGGAACTTTTAGAGAGAATACAGAAGGCACTGAAAGAAATAAAGTAAGCAACAGTTCATTGGATAGGAAAAGAAAACATGGATTATAACCATGTGGTTATCTCTACCATATCATCCTCCTCCATCTTAAGATCTTCTCTCTGAGGGAATCTTTGCTATCTTTGGTAGCATTTTTTGCTTGTTTTTGCATGATGGATCCACTTATATGCTAAAGGGAATAGATCCTTATCTTCCTATTTAAAGTATGATGATATGTTCTATTCATTTTATGAAATTAAAAGATACTTAGGCCTTATTGTATGATCTAGCAATTCTCCTTCTGGTTATATACCCAAAAGAATTGAAAGCAGACTCTCAAAGAGAATTTATACACCCATGTTCATAGAGTATTATTCATAATGGCCAAAGGATGGAAGTAACTCAAGTATACACTGACAGATGAATCTATAAAAAATGTGGTATGTACATATAATGGAATATTATTCAGCTTTTAAAAAAGAAATTCTGACATGGATGAACCTTGATGACATTACGCTAAGTGAAATAAACCAGTCACCAGAGGACAAATGTTCTTTGATTCCATTTATATAGGGTACCTAGAATGGTTAAATTCATAGAGACAGGAAGTAGAGTGGTGGTTGCCAGGGACCTGGGGGTTGGGAGAAGTTCGGAGTTGTTTAAATGGGTACAGAGTTTTAGTTTTGCAAGATGAAGAGAGTTCTGGAGAGTGGTTGCACAACAGTTGCACAACATTAATATACTTAATGCCACTTACCTATACACTTAAAAATGTTCAAGATGGTAAATGTTATATTTCATCACAATTTTTAAAATATTTAGGCCTTTTATAAGATGTCTTTGCCTTTGTTTTTATTTAAGAGTTTTCTTGAGGTATAATTTGAATACCATAAAAGTAATCCATTTTTAATGTACAGTTCAGTGATTTCAGTTCAGAGTTGTGAAACAGTTTTAATGCAATCCAATTTTAGGACATTTCCATCACACCAAAAAGATCTCTGTGCCCAGTTATAGTCACTCCCCATTCCAGGCAACCATGAATCTAATCTTTGTCTCCACAGATTTACCTCTTCTAGGCATTTCATACAAATAATATATATATAGTCTTTTGTATATTTCTTTCACCTACCGTAATTTTTTGACATTCATCTATATTGTACCACATATCAGTAGTTTATTCCTTTTGTTGCTGAGTAGTATTCCATTGTATGGATATACCACATTTGATGGACATTGGATTGCTTCTGCTTTGGGGCTGTTATCAATAATGCTGCTATTAACATTTGCATCTAAGTGTCTTTGTATGGAAATGTATTTTCATTTCTTTTGTGTTGACACCTAGAAGTGAAATTGTCTTTGTGTTTCTGTTTTTTTTTTTGTTTTGGGGTTTTTTTTTGATGAAGTCCAATTTATTATTTTTTCTTTTCTTCTTTTATAAATTTATTTTTTTCTTTTTGGCTGCAGTGGGTCTTCGTTGCTGTGCACGGGCTTTCTCAAGTTGCAGAGAGCAGGGGCTACTCTTCATCGTGGTGGGCGGGCTTCTCATTGCAGTGGCTTCTCTTGTTGCGGAGCACAGGCTCTAGGGCACGCAGGCTTCAGTAGTTGTGGCACATGACTCAGTAGTTGTGGCTCACGGGCTCTAGAGCTCAGGCTCAATAGTTGTGGCACACAGGCTTAGTTGCTCTGCAACATGTGGGATCTTCCCGGACCAGGGCTCGAATCTGTGTCCCCTGCATTGGCAGGTGGATTCTTAACTACTGTGCCACCAGGGAAGCCTGTGTTTCTGTTTTTTTAGAGAAACTTTTAAAAGTCACCGTTATTATAGGCTTGTGCACACAGACTCCTTCCCCTTGCTGTGATAATTTTAGGACTTTTTAAAAAACATATATAAATGGAATATTACTCAGCCATAAAAAGGAATGAAATCGAGTTATTTGTAGTGAGGTGGATGGACCTAGAGTCTGTCATACGGAGTGAAGTAAGTCAGAAAGAGAAAAACAAATACTGTAATCTAATGCATATATATGGAATCTAAAAAAAGAAAAAATGGTACTGATGAACCTAGTTGCAGGGCAGGAATAAAGAGGTAGACATAGAGAACAGACTTGTGGACTTGGGGTGGGAGGGGGAAGCTGGGGCGAAGTGAAAGTAGCATCAACATATATATACACTACCAAATGTAAAATAGTTGGGTGGTGGGAAGCAGCAATATAGCACAGGGAGATTGGCTTGGTGCTTTGGGATGACCTAGAGGGGTGGGATAGGGAGAATGGGAGGGGGGATATGGGGACATGTGTATGCATATGGCTGATTCGCTTTGTTGTGCAACAGAAACTAACACAGTATTGTGAAGCAATTATACTCCAATAAAGATCTATTTAAAAAAAGAAAGAAAACATGTATAGTTCTTCATCTTTGAACTTGTTTTAAAAAATATTAAGGGCAGCAACACAAGGCTTTTTGGTTCTTTGGTACAAGTAGCTTAAGTTTGTATATGGCAAAATGTAATTTAAAAATCTTTTACTTTTTTGTTTTTTTTCTTTAGTCTCGAGAGCCTTTGACAAGAGCACGAAGTGAAGAAATGGGGAGGATCGTACCAGGACTGCCTTCAGGCTGGGCCAAGGTAAAATTCAAAATTAGCACAGAAATAAATTACATGGTCACTGTTTTTTTAAAAAACAAAACATGTATTTGTTTATTCTGCATCTTCTCTAATGCAGAGTGGATTCTGTTTCTTCATTATAAAGGACATAACTCATTTCCCTAATTACAGCAGGGTTAGATTTTTCAGTATCCAATCTGGGATGATGGCTACAGTATATGAACATCCTGGCATTTGTCATTGAGAAACAGTGTATCACTTTAAAACCTAAAGTTGTTTGAAAGTTTAATTATAGAAGTGATTATCACCATTTTATTCAAATAATTTTAATCCAGAAGTAAATTCATCAGTGAAATACTTTTGAGTGATATTTTTGTTGTTGTTCACTTGATGTTCATCATTTTTTGACCTTTTTATTTTCCCCATGTAAGTTTCTTGACCCTATCACTGGAACTTTTCGTTACTATCATTCGCCCACCAACACTGTTCATATGTATCCACCGGAAATGGCTCCTTCATCAGCACCTCCTTCCACCCCTCCAACTCATAAAGCCAAGCCACAGATTCCTGCCGAGCGGGATAGAGAACCGTCCAAGCTGAAGCGCTCCTACTCCTCCCCAGATATAACCCAAGCCATTCAAGAGGAAGAGAAGAGGAGACCAGCAGTAACTCCAACAGTTAATCGGGAAACCAAGTAAGTTTATCCTAACTCCTAGAAACAGAATCGTCTGCTGTATTTGAAAACTTCTACTCTAAGCATATCAGTTTATTAATATCAGGGCGTCAGAAAATTCTGTGGATGGCTGTCCCAGCCTTTATTTACTAAAGAGGAAAAAAGAAATAAATGGATTAAATGTCCTTGGTTTTTCTCCCAAGTGCTAACTTAAATATATCACAGAGGATTATCATACGTAATAATGTAGATATAAAAGTATACACCTTGTTAAGTTTTAAGGCAGTGTGCCATAGACTGCCTAGACGTGTTGTATAAACTTCCTGTGATCCCTAAATCTCCTTTTGAGGACCATAATTTATGGAATTACTGAGTATGTCTTGTTGCAGCTCTTAAATTCCAAACTTTTTTTTTTAACTCAGCCAGTAATGTGGGAGTAAACTTACATAGTATTAAAATAATGAGCATTATAGTGTGTATCAGCTTCTATTTACCACTTCTGATCATTAATTTTGGGGGATGTAGGACAGATGGAAGTGAAAATAAATGGATTTTTCTATTTATTAAATACAATCTCTTAATTGCTAAGGAATTCTAACTAGGCTGTCTTTTTGGCCTCTTCAGAATCACCTCCGCAAAAAGTAGTTAATATATTTTCCTCATGAGAACCTTCCCTGCCAGGTAGGACTTACCTGGAGGAGATTTTGTAAAATTGGTAAATCTAGTTATAGATTTTAGGGCTCACTATTAAAGCTGGTGAGGTGTAATTCCTTCTTGAATTATCATTCTTATGAAAGTTTGTTAATTTGACAGTTTTAAAAACTACAGCATATGCAGTTCATGTATTTTTTTATCTGTGTTGAACAGAGAATAGCACATGAGTGCATACACCTGAGCCATGTGTAAAGAAAAGGTGGTTGAAATATAATCTGTTCTCAGTATTCCTTTCAGAGGTGGAAATATACTTAGGATCAATAATAAAAGAAAGACTTATCAATTAGGAGTTTTCTTAATGCTGTAGCAGTTCTAGAAGTTCCACATATACATCAAATACACTAAGTAACAAAAGTCTTGGAGGCATTCTCTAGTCTAGTGCTGTCCAGTAGACATGTTGATAGAAATGTTCTGTATCTGTGCTGTCCAGTATGGTAGTGGCTATTTTGAATTGTGGCTAATGTAACTAAAAAGCTAAATTTTAAATTTTATCTTAAATTTATATAGCCACCTGTGGCTAGTGGCTACTACCATATTTGTCAGCACAGCTCTAGACTTTAGGTTATAGTACCCAAATAACCTCTGCCTGCTTGATAATATACTCCACAGTACCATATATATATATATATACACACATACACTTTTTTTTTTTTTTTGATTCCTTGTTTGGCATTCTGGTTGAATACAACATTTGGTAATGCTAAATTTCCTGGGATCATTTAAAGAAGTTTGAAAGAGCCTTCTCTACTAGAAGACTCTACCTGTTCATGAGAAGCCAGAGAATCTATCTCAGGGTATCTGTAAAAAACCATGGACTCACATAAGAGGTTAAAGGTGTTTGTTTCATGGGAGGGTCACAGAATATAACCAGTGTTAACCTCGATACTAAATGTCCTGTAAGACCCATTACCTTATGAGCTAACTTAATAACTATTTGCAAGATTACTGAATACACTGGTACAGATGCTGGAGTTTACTGCCCTTTGTAGTGTGAACCTTCATTTCAGGTGCTGTGCATTTTAAAGTATCTTGTACACTTTTTTCTTCCTTAGGCCAACAAGCTACCCTAAAACTGAGATCACAAGGCTTTCTGCTTCTCAAATTCGGAACCTCAATCCTGTTTTTGGAGGATCTGGACCAGCTCTCACCGGACTTCGTAATTTAGGAAATACTTGTTACATGAACTCAATACTGCAGTGCCTATGTAATACTCCACATCTGGCTGATTATTTCAACCGCAACTGTTATCAGGATGATATTAATAGGTAAAGAAATATCATACTTTTTGCAGTACAGTATTAAAAGGGTGATCTAACCATGCTTCCTTACCAGCCAGTTCCAGAGATGTCAAATTAGGAAAGAGGAAAATATTCTTAAGAACAGTGTAGAAATTGCCAGGACATAGAAGCAACCTAAGTGTCCATCGACAGATGACTGGATAAAGAAGATGTGGCACATGTATACAGTGGAATATTACTCAGCCATAAAAAGAAACGAAATTGAGTTATTTGTAGTGAGGTGGATAGACCTAGAGACTGTCATACAGAGCGAAGTAAGTCAGAAAAACAAATACTGTATGCTAACACATATATATGGAATCTAAAAAAAAAAAAGATGGTTCTGAAGAACCTAGGGGTAAGACGGGAATAAAGACACAGATGCAGAGAATGGACTTGAGGACACGGGGAGGGGGAAGGGTAAGCTGGGACGAAGTGAGAGAGCGGCATGGACATATATACACTACCAAATGTAAATAGATAGCTAGTGGAAAGCAGCAGCATAGCACCGGGAGATCAGCTTGGTGCTTTGTGACCACCTAGAGGGGTGAGATAGGTAGGGTGGGAGGGAGACGCAAGAGGGGATTATATGCATACGTATAGCTGATTCACTTTGTTATACAGCAGAAACTAACACACCATTGTAAAGCAATTGTACTCCAATAAAGATGTTTAAAAAAAAAAAGAACAGTGTAGAGAAAAGCCTCCTCTGATTGGTAAAGGACAGACAGGAAAGGAACAGTACAAGAAGGTGGAACCACACTGTCATAAACTGGAGCCTGTTGATAAGGAATAGGAGACCGTGCAGGGCTGGCAGCCAAAAGGAAGCAAGTTGGAGGGGTGTAATCAAAGTAAGATTCAGATAGGTATTTGGTAATAAACCTGTGAATAAGTATTTTAGTGTAGTGTAGGGTCACATATTACAGTATGTTGATGTCAAGAACCCACTGTACCTTGGCTTTTTATAATTCCTGTATTGCTTTTTTGTAACTTTAATTTTATTTGCAAAGGTCAAATTTGTTGGGGCATAAAGGTGAAGTGGCGGAAGAATTTGGCATAATCATGAAAGCCCTGTGGACAGGACAGTACAGGTATATCAGTCCGAAAGACTTTAAAATCACTATTGGGAAGATCAATGACCAGTTTGCAGGATACAGCCAGCAAGATTCACAAGAACTGCTTCTGTTCCTAATGGATGGTCTCCATGAAGATCTTAATAAAGTAAGAAATTTTTCTAAGTTGCAGAGGCCCCTTAGGGTTGCTTAACATTGTACTCATTTTTATAGCAATTTAAAATTATAGTTGGTGATTGTTCAGTGCTAATTTATTGAAACCTAGTGACTCTGTACTATGGCATGGAAGTTTAAAACAAATACAACTGATAGGTCTAATATTTGAAAGGAAGTATATGCAATTTGTATTCACTTATGAAAATGTTAACAGGTTGTATTACTGCAAGAAGTTTGTAAATGTTGTAAATTTGTAAAAATAGTTGTCAGAGATGCTGTGTTTGTGACCCACATGACCAAATGATTCATGTGAAAAGTTATTACTGAGGCATCTTTGTCTGTGTACTGTGGCTTCTTTTTAGCACCAAGCTGTCCTCTTTCAGATACCTTTGGGGTCACCTTTCTTACCAGCAACCACAGACATACACAAATAGATACACACACTTATATATGTATATGTATGTGTGTGAATATATGTATGTTGTGTGTGTCTATATGTGTATATGTGTGTGAAGGTAGGTAGGTAGGTAGGTAGATAGATAGATAGATAGATAGAATGTATCCATCCATGAGACTAGGACAGCAAAATAACATCTGTCTAGTTGTAGCCCTAACTCCCAGCTCTTTTCAAAACCAGACTTTTCAGCTCTTTAAATAAAAATTTGTTGAGCAATTGCAACAAGTTACATCCTTTTGATAAAGTGGGTTTTGGTATTTTAGGAGGTTTTCTTGGCTAGAATTTTTTTGTAGCACTTGATGAGATTAGAATTCCTTTCTGAAAAGAACAAGAAGTGTTTCTAAATCTGCAGAGTGTTTGTATTTAATATACTCTTTCAATTTTATATTTAAATGTTGACTTTGAGATATTAATATAGAGTCTAAATTTTATTTCCAGGCTGATAATCGGAAGAGACATAAAGAAGAAAATAATGATCATCTCGATGACTTTAAAGCTGCAGAACACGCTTGGCAGAAGCACAAGCAGCTCAATGAATCTATCATTGTTGCCCTTTTTCAGGGTCAATTCAAATCCACAGTACAGTGCCTCACCTGCCACAAAAAGTCTAGGACATTTGAGGCTTTCATGTATCTGTCTCTACCACTAGCATCTACAAGTAAATGTACATTACAGGTAAGTTTAGGATTGAGAGAAAATGATTTGTTGAAGAAAAATTCTTTTCATATGCACATAGAGGTGTACTTTATTCAGTAATTTATTTCTCTTGTTTGCCCCATAAACATTTTACAGGTTAAAACTTAAACAAAAATTTTGTTTTAATTAGGCCTCTGTAGATTAGGAAAAAACCAGCATTTTTAAAAAGAAATTTTCCTTTTTAAAAGATATTTTCCTATAAAATATTCTTTTAGAGTTAATAATTTTTTTTAAAGTTTGTATTTATTGAAGTTTTAAAAGTTAATTTGGAAAATTGTATGTTGACTTTAATTTAGGTACAGTTTTATAGGAATTTGCTCTACATGGGTATATCAAATAAATATGTTTTGCAGACAACAGCGGTGTGATTTAGAGAGCTTGTTGACACCCTTTAGTGTTGGCTTCCTGTTAGTCAGAACTTCCGAGCCACCAGGTAGAAGTTCCTCAGTGCTCTCAGGGCATGCAGGACTTCTTCCCTCCACCATTGGCAGCACCACCACTCGCCACACTCTTTGTCACTGTCAGCTCCCATCTGGGTCTGCATCCCTCACTAGATCATAAACTTTGTGGGGGCAGGAACTGTTTTGTAATAGTTTACTGTTGTATTCCTCATGCCTGGCAGAGTAACTTATTGAATAGATGCTCAGGAATACTGTGTTGAAAATATTAACAAGTATCTACTACTTGTTTTTGCCTCCAGGATTGCCTTAGATTATTTTCCAAAGAAGAAAAACTCACAGATAACAACAGGTTTTACTGCAGTCATTGCAGAACTCGACGGGATTCGCTAAAAAAGATAGAAATCTGGAAGTTGCCACCTGTACTTTTAGTGCATCTGAAACGGTAAAAGGGACACATTTTTCTTAGTGTTTAGTACTTTTTAGATGAAGGACTTCTAAGTCTTTTATTCTAAACACTTTGTTTTACTACCTGCTTAGGATGTATAACAAAGGAAGATCATCTGGTTAGGGTATCTCTAGGGAAACTAGGCAGAAATGATGAGATTCTAGTTCACCTTAGTGTTTGTAATAACAGGGCAAAGTGACAGCGTCACTCTTTCATATAATTCTGTTTTTAAAAATCTGTGAAACTAGCGGGGAGGGATAGATTGGGAGTTTGAAATTAACATGTACACACTGCTATATTTAAAATGGATAACCAAGAGAGTTCCCTGGTTGCCCAGTGGTTAGGACTCTGCACTTTCACTGCCAAGGGTGTGGGTTCAGTCCCTGGTCGGGGAATTAAGATCCTACAAGCCACGCAGCACAGCCAAAAAAATTAAAAATAAATAAAATAGATAATGAGTAAGGACCGACTATATAGCACAGGGAACTCTGCTCAATATTCCATAATAACCTAAATGGGAAAAGAATTTGAAAAAGGATAGATACATGTATATGTGTAACTGAATCACTTTGCTGTACACCCAAAACTAACACACATTGTTAATCAATGATAATCCAATATAAAATTTTAAAAATAAAATCAGTGAAACTAAATTATTGCATTTCAAATATGAAAATTTTAAATCATTACAAAGCATTCAGTGAAAATGTATAAAAATAATGTTATACAATATAACTAACACACTATTAGATAAAATTTATCATTCAAACAACATAGTAAACATAACAAAAAATACTGTGCTGAAAATGAAATATATGAGTTTTTTTAAAGTATAATTTTTAAAGATAAAACATTAAGGATGCCATTGTAGAGTGCAGACGTATTTTTGCCCATATTTTTCCAGCCAATGAAAAAGATCTGGACCTATAGCAGTAGAAGAATAATGGCGAGAGAGTTGTAAAACATGTGCCAGGTCTTTTGCTCTGATTCTTTGTCTTTATGGTATCCATCTGTGGAGTGATAACTTTAAGTCATTTTTTGGAAAAACTTTTTAAAAGGAAGTTTCATCTGTTTATTGAGAGCTCTAATTTTTGTTTCAAAGAAAGCATTTCTTTTTAATTTTTTGTTTCATCTTATATTATTGGAGATTCTTAGGCAGTTATTTATGTTAATTTCCACATTGATATATTCAAATTCCTCTTGTGTAAATTTTCTAACAAAAGCTTATATCAGTTGTCTTTTTCTGCTTCTTGCAGATTGTGGAGGTATAAACATTCTATAAATGATTACACATTTGTTCTGTTAAAATTTTTAATGCTGTGTATTACTCTTGGAGAATATCTAAAAGTATAAATGGTTCAGAGTTCATTATTTTTTAAATAATTCTGAAATAACCAGTATTTTGGTGTTTAAAGAAGCAGAATATGTCAGGATAATGGAATGCCATTATTTCAGTCACTAATTTATGTGCTTGCAATTACCAGCTCTAGCGTCCCCAAAAGTACAAGCTTAAATCTAGACCAGCTCTCCTCTGTCATTCCTCTGTACTTTTGTGGTGATTAGCATTATAAATGGGGGTTTTCATAACTTTTTACCTTTGTAGAAGACTAATCTAATAGCTTTAGCTGGTCTAGGGATTAAGGGACCAAGGTATGGCCCTACCTCTACCACTCTAGCTGTTTGACCTGTGGTTAGACATTTAACTCATTATTGATGGGGGATTTTTGCAGAAACTAACGCCTGCGGCTGGCGATTTGTTATGTAAATGGATATTGAAATGCCTACAGTCAATACGTTCGGGTAACAAAAGACGTATTAATACGTCTCTGGTCAATAATGTGTTAATATCTGTGTACGACAGTTTCTTCATTTGTAAAACAAATGAAACCAAGTACAGCAAGTCCCCTATATACGAACGAGTTCTGTTCTGAGAGTGCATTTGTAGGTCCAATTCATTTGTAAGTCCAACAGAGTTAGCCTAGGTACCCAACTAACTCCACTATATAGTAATAGGCGTACTGTAATAGGTTTATAATACTTTTCACACAAATAATACATAAAAAACAAACACAAAAAATAAAACAGGGCTTCCCTGGGGGCGCAGTGGTTGAGAGTCCGCCTGCCGATGCAGGGGACACGGGTTCGTGCCCCGGTCCGGGAAGATCCCACATGCCGCGGAGCCTGCACGTCCGGAGCCTGTGCTCTGCAACGGGAGAGGCCACAACAGTGAGAGGCCCGCGTACCACAAAAAAATAAAATAAAATATTTTTAATCTTACAGTATAGTACCTTGAAAAGTATAGTAGTACAGTACAACAGCTGGCATACACAGGCACATTCACGTCTTTGGAAGTTCACAATTTGAAGATTCGTATGTAGGGGACTTACGTTATCTTTTTTTTCTTCTTTTTTTCTCTTCTTTTTTTCTTTTTTTTCTTTTTTGGCTGCACCATGCAGCATGTGGGATCTTAGTTCCCCAACCAGGGATCGATCCCACGCCCCGTACATTGGAAGCACTGAGTCTTAACCTCTGGACCACCAGGGAAGTCCGAAACCAGGTGTCTTTAACAGGTCCCTCCACTATTAAAATTCTGATTGTGTGTTTGAAATGGATTTTATGGTCCTGTCTAAAAATCTGGATTGTTAATGAATGAATTAGGGTTCATTCTGATGTCTTTGGTCTGTCAGTGTAATTGCTGTAATGTTATGCTCTACAGTTTTTCCTATGATGGCAGATGGAAGCAAAAATTACAGACATCTGTGGACTTCCCATTAGAAAATCTTGACTTGTCACAGTATGTTATTGGTCCAAAGAACAATTTGAGGAAATATAACTTGTTTTCTGTTTCGGTAAGTATCTCATTAAACTAAATACATTTTCTTTCGAAGCAAACTAAAAAACCCAGTTTCAAGTGGTTCCTTACCTCATAGGAAAGTAAGAACAACATAAGTCTTTGAAATTATTGACATATTTTAAATAATTCAATTTGATTTGATTTTCTGTCTTGTTTGGCACAGAATCACTATGGTGGGCTGGATGGAGGCCACTACACTGCCTATTGTAAAAATGCAGCAAGACAGCGGTGGTTTAAATTTGATGATCATGAAGTTTCTGATATTTCCGTTTCTTCTGTGAAATCTTCAGCAGCTTATATCCTCTTTTATACGTCATTGGGACCACGAGTAACTGATGTAGCCACATAAGGAGAAGTAGGTTATAAGCTAGTTATCTTTTAACAGGCTGAGCAACACAATTCTTGAAATGCTTAAAGATTCTGGATAGCTATAGCTGGCCATTTAAAGGAATTCTAGGACAGTGAGAGTTGTGTTACTATACCATATACTTCAGGTCAGTGCTATTATCAAAAAACTGACCAAGAACATTTAACAAGTATTGCAGTAAGCATTCCTTACAGGTACCATTTATTTCAAAACAACTTTTTTAGTTTGCTCCAAAGTTAAAATAATTAGCTAAGCATAATTATTCTCCTGGTCTAAAAACCATTGTATCCTTTATTTTCCTTTTTACTGTTATGGCCTTTTCACATTTCTAAATCCCAGCTTGATCTATGAATACTCTAGAATGATGTAAAACAGATAGGAATGTATGTGTATATATTTATTGCACACTTGCACATCAAGTCGATGTACATAGTATAATATGTGGTCCTTTTGTGAAGGCTAGAACTCAGAGGATTGCTTTTTTTTTTCTTTCCTTTTGGCCTATTCTGAGTAATTGCAGTGCTTTCTTAGGGAAATGACAGGGCAAAGCTATTTTTCTGTTGGCTTTGGGCTGTATTTGTGCACTAAATCTTTATTCTAAAAAAATAAATGGAAACTTTTCTTTAATTTTTTAAATGAGAATTTTCATTTACACCTACATTAAAATCTTATTGAGAAAAATAATTTAAAACCCTGTAAGTGTTGTCTTTAATTTTATATTATTAAACATAGAACAGTAGAATTACAGATTTTATACATACACTCTTTATACCACTACAATGACTTAAAATTTAGTACACTTATTCCTTTGCATCACTTGATTCCACTCATCCTTTACCTTGACCCTGAACTGCACATAGCACTTAAGATGCTCTCAGAGTTGGGAGTCAGAGTAAAATATAAATAACTTAATGCCCAGACTCATTCTATCAAGAGTAGTAGAATTCTTAGGATTAAGATAAAAAGAGATGAGTCAGACATGACTGCAAAGTGAACTGCATTATAAACCACATCTTTACAAAGTGATGTATTAAAAGGGATAGAGGAGCTTAGAATTTATCATTTACCTCAGGGACTTAGTTGTTATAGGTAAAGTCAATATATAAATATAAAAACAAGATTCTAAAGGTGCTTCTGAAAGATGTCACCATTAGTGGACACTCAGGAAGAAGATGAAAGGAAGGTGTTGAATTGTGAAACTGACAACGTTTCATGTTCTACAATTAGTCTGAGAGATTATAGTTGCCTAAATTATCTGAACAATTAAATATTTTCAAATCACATTCCTAACCTCACAGAGCCACCTGAACAAAAGTTATTTTGGTTTAGCTCCATGAAGTATCTTTGGAAAATAATTTGTTGGATATATATAATTATTATGAGATAGTTTATGATAAAAATACACACTAATAAACACTGTACTTTGAAACCTGAACATAATACTTATAATCTGATTGCTTTGAAGGTCCCCATTCGTTAGCATTGCATCATTTTCATGCTGCCTTTTTTTAGTGGGCCAGGACCCATCTTTTTATAGACTTACCTTGTGAAGGTTGCATAACATGCCAGAAAGACTTAAAAATGTCAGTGACGCAAGTAAGTTGCAAGAGTTTTAATGACAAAGCAAAACTTAAGTACTAGGTTCTAATTGCTAGTTTTGCAATTTTCAGGAAACACCATTTTCCTAGCTCTTGTGTTTTTGTATAGGTATAGAAAAGGGCTGGCAGCTATAGAACAGGAGATATGCTGTAGCGGTTTGAACTGAAGTATCTGGAATCTCTCTGACTCGTGTGTCATCAAAGTTATACCAGGCGTGAGTCACTGAGTTTTTGCAGAAAGCAGTGTAGTGGCCACCATCCAGATCACCAGAGTGGTTCTAGGGGAGAAAGGAATGTCACGCAGTATTTACATTTGAATACTTTAAATATTAGAACCCAAACGATAGGGCCAAGAAATATTTTTATAATTGTCCCTTATACTGGATTAAAAGCTAAATCATACGTTATGTTAAATCATACATATAGCCTGACTGGTATATTTTTCATGTCACTGAAATGGTTATATATTGTGTCCATCGATTATTTAATAGACTGTGAATGAAATAGGATAGTATTTGGCATCTTCTAATATTTATCAGTTAATACTTACTGAGCACCAACTGTACATAGACTATTAAACATCAAAGGAAATTTTAAAATAAGAAAATAGTCATGTTTCCTAAATGAGCTTATAATTTTGAAGACAGTCTAAGATAGACATGTAAAAAGACATTTAACATTGGAACAAGACATTAAAACAACTGCATACTGCTACCACACAATTTGAGGAGGTTGTACAGCAACAGCTCCCTTGGTAATCCAAGGCCCAAAAAAGAACCTGTTCTATTCTCTTTTTCCCATGTTTTCCCTAACCCAGTAAAGCAATGTTTGAAACAAAGGCATTGGAGAACCTCACTTCTCAGAAGGTGGTATGGCATAGAGCAGGGGTTGACAAACCATTTGCCCATGGGTCAAAGCCAGCCTGCTGCCTGTTTTTATATGGCCTGTGAACTAAGAATGCATTTTATATTTTTATATGGTTGAAAAAAATCAGAAGAATAGTATTTAGTGATGTGTGAAAATTATATGAACTTCAGATTTTTCAATGTCCTTAAATAAAGTTTTATGGGATCACAGCCATGCTCACTTGTTTATGTTTTTAAGTGGCTGCTTTCACACTATAACTGTAAAGTTGAATGGTTACAAGAGAGACTATAGAATACATGGCCTGCAAATCCTAAAATATTTACTATCTAGCTTTTTAAGTTTGTTGACCCCTGGGGTAGAGGGAAGAAAATGGATTTTTCTAGTCAGTTCTATGAATTCAGCTCTAATACTGCACAATGACCTTAAGGAAATTATTTAACCTTTCTGAGCTTTAATTCCCCTATCTTTTAAAATGGGTAATAAGACCTATACAACTACTATCTCTCTTATAGTGCTAGCACATAGGAGGTACTTATTAAGTGTTCCCTTAGACCTTCATCTTCCCCACATCTCCTGTTATCTCTTAGAGAAATATCCCAAAGCTGACATTTTAAAGATTCAGACTCTGGTCCTGGTCTTGGCCATGTGACCTTAAGCTGATATGCTTAAAATTCCTTATTTATAAAATGGTGCCCATAATATTGTGATGTAATTTGAGGAAAACAAAACATCTGGTGGATCCAGATGATGAAGTAATGTTCTAAAGTGACTACACAGATTATGGCTGGAATATGTTCTGTTTTGATGACAATGTAAACATACAAAATTGACATAGTAGAATAGGGTAGGGTGAAGCATCATTCTAGACTTCCATTCTCAGTAATTTTGGCAGACAATTAGCCTGAAAGCCTTAGTTACGAAACTGTAAAGAATGCTCGATAGGGACTTCCCTGGTGGCACAGTGGTTAAGAAACTGCCTGCCAATGCAGGGGACACAGGTTCGAGCCCTGGTCCAGGAAGATCCCACATGCCGCAGAGCAACTAAGCCCATACACCACAACTACTGAGCCTGCACTCTAGATCCCACAAGCCATAGCTACTGAGTCCACACACCTAGAGCCCGTACTCCGCAACAAGAGAAGCCACCGCAATGAGAAGCCCATGCACCACAACGAAGGGTAGCCCCTGCACACCATAACTAAAGAAAGCCCATGCGCAGCAACGAAGACTCAACCAGCCAAAAAAAATAAAAAAGAATGCTGGATAAAACATGGTAAATACCCTTTGAAATATATGGCTAACTTTAAAGATTGTATAGTGAGAGTAATCTCCAGGGGCCAAGAACAGAGGAAATAAAAGATGAGCATGATGTGTGGTTAATGCTGTGACTGCCTGAGAGCAAAGACAGTTTCTGGTCCCTGGAGCCACAGTGCTTGGGTTTTAAAGGTCACACAAGGGCTGGAGGTAAAGTCCTAAGTCCCTGCAAGGTGAGGAGTTGGATTGAAATCCACACACATAGCCACAACCTCTTAAAGACAGGCACCCTCAATAAAAGAATAAACTAGGGGGGAACAAATCCACCCTCCAGTGCTTAGCTTAGCTTAGGCTTTGGGTACAAAGAATAAAAGTCATTCCTGGAAAGTCGTTACCACAGACCTGGCTTCTCTTTGGCTGGGGATTCAAATTTACACTACTGTGTCTCAGAATCCTGTGAATTTAAGGTGAGAATGAAAAGTATTTTGGGGTTGCTTGGCAGAAGAAAAAGAATTACTTTCTGATTGATGCACCTTAATTCAGGCTACACAGGATAACCACATATAAAAACCCAGTGATGCTGAACTCACAATTCAGTATTACAGAGCATACACGGAAACAATTCACCATGAGTAGGAGTTTAGAGGGCAATAAATAGCAAGATTAAAAACTCCAAGGGGACATGGAGAAGATGGCGGAAGAGTAAGACACGGAGATCACCTTCCTCCCCACAGATACACCAGAAATACATCTACAGGTGGAACAACTCCTACAGAACACCTACTGAACACTGGCAGAAGACCTCAGACCTCCCAAAAGGCAAGAAACCCCCACGTACCTGGGTAGGGGAAAAGAAAAATGAATAAACAGAGACAAAAGAATAGGGACAGGACCAGCACCAGTGGGAGGGAGCTGTGAAGGAGGAAAGGTTCCCACACACTAGGAAGCCCCTTCGCGGGCAGAGACTGTCGGTGGTGGAGGGAGAAAGATGCAGAGCCGTGGAGGAGAGCCCAGCAACAGGGGTGCGGAGGGCAAAGCAAAGAGATTCCCGCACAGAGGATCGCTGCGGACCGGCACTCACCAGCCCGAGAGGCTTGTCTGCTCACCCGCCGGGGCGGGCGGGGGCTGGGAGCTGAGGCTCAGGCTTCAGCTGGAGCGCAGGGAGAGTCCTGGGGAGCGCAGGGAGAGAGGCCTGGGGCTGGCGGCGTGAACACAGCCTGCAGGGTGTTAGTGCACCACGGCTAGCCGAAGATGCAAAAGACTTTTCCTTCCCTCTCTGTTTCCTGGTGCGCAAGGAGAGGGGATTAAGAGTGCTGCTTAAAGGAGCTCCAGAGACGGGCACGAGCCGCGGCTAAAAGCGCGGACCCCAGAGACGGGCATGAGACGCTAAGGCTGCTGCTGCCGCCACCAGAAGCCTGTGTGCGAGCACAGGTAACTATCCACAACCCCCTTCCAGGGAGCCTGTGCAGCTCACCACTGACAGGGTCCCGTGATCCAGGAACAACTTCTCCGGGAGAACGCACTGTGCGCCTCAGGCTGGTGCAACGTAATGCTGGCCTCTGCCGCCGCAGGCTCGCCCCGCACTCCGTACCCCTCCCTCCCCCACGGCCTGAGTGAGCCGGAGACCCCGAATCAGCGGCTCCTTTAACCTCGTCCTGTCTCAGCGAAGAACAGACGCCCTCCGGCGACCTACACGCAGATGCGGGGCCAAATCCAAAACTGAGCCCAGGGAGCTGTGCGAACAAAGAAGAGAAAGGAAAATCTCTCCCAGCAGCCTCAGAAGCAGTGGATTAAAGCTCCACAATCAACTTGATGTACCCTGCATCTGTGGAATATGTGAATAGACAACGAATCATCCCAAATTGAGGAGGTGGACTTTGAGAGCAAGATTTATGATTTTTTTCCCCTTTTCCTCTTTTTGTGAGTGTGTATGTGTATGCTTCTGTGTGAGATTTTGTCTGTATA